CTGTACTGCCTACACATTTTGAAACCACACAGCAGTCCCTTCCATGCCTCACTTTGGCAGCAAAGTACTTTATATTTGTATTGTGCTGTCCACAGTACTGGCTCAATGGGGAATAAAGAGAGTTGGCACTGTGTAAGCACATGGTTGCTCAAGTAAGCCCTGCTGTTTGAGGACCAAGTGACACTTGACAAAGTCCCTCTTTGGATCAGACATGTGCTGAGTTCTGTACACATCAGAGACCAACTTGGATCATGGGGAGAGGGGGCCTACACCTTCCCGCCTCCACGGGCTCTTCTGCATTCTCATTTTCATCACTTGTGTGCCCTTATCACTTCAGAGGTTTTTTTTCTTTTCCACTCGTGTTTTCCACCCAGCAGGCAGGAAAGGATGCCCAATTTGGCCCCTGGCCCTTTATTGGTCGCTTTGATATTACATCGCTCTGTTTCCAGCACATTTCCCTGCACTTTACAACGACAGGGAAATATGCTGGAAATACAGCGATGTAATACCAAAGCAACCACTAGAGGGAGCAAAATGTGTGCAGAACCTCCCCCCCCCAAAGCAATACAGGCACACAAGTGATGAAAATGAAAGTGCAGAAGGGCCCCACGCTATTTTCCCAACTTGAAATAGTCCTAGGGAACCATTAATTGCCCCGCTGGGGAAATTTACATGTAGCCATCAGTTTCTCGAGTAGTGCAAACAGCAGCTCTTGGGGGCCATTTCAGGTTGGGGAAAATGCCACAAAGGGGAAGCCTTAGACCTCTGCTTCCTGTAGTCTTACTCCACATCTGGCCCCTGCGAACCTGGGAAGTTACGAACTTCCTGAACACACCTGCTCAGAAGGAGGACATGAGGATTCCGTAATGTACAAACTGGCTGAGCAGGTTTTTGCAAATGAACTCTTTAGTCAAATCATGAGACGATTACTGGTTGCCAAGGGTGGCGTTCTTTGGTGATCTTTAGGGTGTATCTTTTCAGATCTGGGCAATGCGACAAGAAGGCCTCAATCACGGCTTGGCTAACTGTGCAGTAACAGTGGACCTCTTTCAAGCGTACACACTTCTTTGCCAGATCTATTAAGGAGAAGTTGAGGTCATCGGATGGAGTAGTGTGAAGGACCAGCCTCTCCAAACTCCTGCTGTAGTTGCTGGTGACAAACCTGACCTGGTTCACCATGTACGTAAAGGTGTTTAGTTGCAAAGTGGTCACAGGGATATTTGGCTTCAGGATCCGAGGTATCTTCCAGGCAGGGACCGTGTGCTCAAACTCAAGTTCAACGCAGAGTTGTGGATGCCTCCCACTCACTGCAGCCCAAAGCTCTTCCGTGATGACTGGGATGTATTTGTCCAGGCGCTCACAGAAAATGTCCAGGCAACTGAAAGGTTCTCGATTTGGCTTAACCAGTTCCAGAAAGACATCCTCAGACAGACTGGCATAATAGACGCCCAAAGTAGACAATTTGGGACAGTCCCTAAGGAGCTTAATGATGGTTTCTGGCTTGACATTACAAACCAAGGTGCGATTGTTGATGAACAAGGTGCGTAAGTTTGGGCTAGAGCTTGCGATCAGCTCAACTATCCCATCGTCAAGAGTGAAAGGCATTTGCCGAAAATCAATCTTTTGAAGGTTGATCTTGTTCTTGCTCTGGCAGATGTTCCTGATGCTCTGAAGGATTTCTTGGCCAGCATCGAAATAAGGATTCTCCCCTGTGCAGGCAATGCAGAGAGCCTGCAACTTGTGGTTCTGCTGGGCCAGCATGTCTAAAATTTGAGAGACGTTCCTTTGGATTACCTTCTTGGACTGATCAAACACAATCTTCAGATGTTTGATAAGGTTCAGGAACTGGTGTAAACTCTGCAGCGTGCCATCTTCATCCTCATCCTTGAAACTGAAAGAGCATGGGGAAGAAAAACAGAGCTGGAAATTTCTGGGGTTATATGAAACAAAAGTGTAAGAATGTTGTAGGGACACCAGCAAGTGCTGCCATCACAACTAGGGATGGGCAGGTACTGGGAAAATGGAGGTTCATTAAATTTTCTGTTTAACGAACCAGTTCGAGGTTCATGATGCAGCATGGCCTGCAACCCACGCCACAGAAGCATGACATGCAAGTGAACTCAGAAGGCATTTAAATGACTTCTGAGTTCACTTGCTGTCATGGGTACTGGTTTGGCTGAGGCTGACTCCTCCTCAGATGAGGAAGAGGCAGGGAGCAACTCAGCCTCCTCTTGAGTCAGCCCAGAAGAAGAACCCTCAACAGCACCTGAGAAGGAAGAGGCCCCAGCAGCTGCACAAGAGGTGCAGCCAGAAGGAGAGATCATTCCTGAGCCTGGGCCAGCACCCTCAGCTGCAGACACCCTGAGGCCAGACTCCCCGCCTAGTTCTCCCGAGTGCCCCAGACGTAGGGCACGCCAGAGGCTGGCTATGCAGGAGCGAAGAAGGAGTGCCAGACTGCAGCTCCTGCAAAGGCAACGGGCGGGGTTGTAAGCCTTTGCAGACTCAGCGCCCAGGGAAGGAAGGACCTGCTCAAAAACCCTCCGTGCAGCTGCTTCAGCGCGGCAGCAACTCTACGTAATCAGACCTGCTTCTGAGTATGCAGCAGCCATGTCCTTGGAAACTTGCAATCTTGACTTGATTTCCCGGCTATCCGACCTTTGGATTGTTACTGACCTTGATTTCGGACCATGTTTCTAGCTTCTCATGTATAGTCTTGGTGGACCCCAGCCAAGATAGCACACTTGCAGAGTTGCGCTGTCATGGCAGCATGGCTTGGAGAAGGCACCAGGGTCTCTTTAAATGCCTTCTCCAAGCCCCACTGGCAGTGCCAAAAATCAGCAAATACCGTGCTACAGATGATTATAAAATATCTCAAATAATTTTTATATATTTTTTGTTTTATATTTTTACAATTTATTCACCATATATTATTCATCATATAAGCCTTAATACATAGAATCATATATCAAAACATCTAAGTATCGTCTCTTAATATATCACAAAAGATATTGCACAACCCCTTTATTAATATCAGTCCTCCTTAATTATACAAAAGTTTTAAGAGGGAGGACTCCTTTAAGTCTATTTTGAATAAGTGCTCAGTCTTCCTCCAACAGATGTCCAGATATCCTCCTGTTTCAGTGTCTTCTGAAACAATATCTGTTGAACTCCCTGAGGAATAAACTAAACAAAATCTATTTAACACTCTTGAATTAAAACTTGAAAGGGCGATTGGTGGTGGAACGTGCCATCAAGTTGCAGCTTACGGTGGCCCCATAGGGTTTTCAAGGCTGGAGACAAACAGAGATGGTTTGCCATTGTCTGCCTCTGCGTAGCAATCTTAGACTTCCTTGGTGGTCGCCCAGCCAAGCACTAACTAGGGCCAACCCTGCTTAGTTTCCGAGATCTGACAAAATCAAGCTAGCCTGGGTCATCCACAGAGCTACTGGGGACCGGCAGAAATAGCTTTGAGGTTCCACTTGACCCATGGCCACCAGGTGCTTGCTCACCCTGAATTCAAGATGTAATCCTAAACACACTTTGCCTGAGGAGGAGTTCTGGGAACTTGAAAGCTTACACTCCCTGTATTGTGACATTTTGCTTAGTCAAAAAACTACTATATATGATTCTTATTTTGGATTTTTTTTCCTGTTTACATTTATTTGGAAGCAAGTCCCACTGATTTCGGTAAAACTTAATCCCTCGTAAATATGCATAGGGTTACAGCTTTAACTCTTTACCATCCCTCAGTCAGCAAAGAATAATATTGGGATAGCTGTTATTTCGGAAATGCCCTCCCACAAGAGTTGACCACCATCTTTGAAGGCCTTCCAGACTGATTTGAAAACCTTTCGAGAAGACCCTTACATTAGACTCATGAGCGGCCCTCTGTGTGTATACGGCAAAAGGTGGTGATGATTTGTCATTGTGGTCCTTGTTTTGAGGATTTGACATTAAATCTGTCACTTTTTAATCTCGCCCTTTCTCCAAAGAGATCAGGGCCACATACACAATTCTCCCTTTCCCCACTTTTTCCTCATAACAATCTTTCGATGTCACTTAGGCAGAGATGGATGGCCCAAACTAGCCTTTTCTCATCAGAACTCAAAGCTAAGCAGGGTTGGTCCAGGTTACAAGTTGGATGGGAGACCACCAAGGAAGTCCAAGGTCGCTATGCAGGGGCAGGCCATGGCAAACCACCTCTGAATGTCTCTTGCCTTGAAAACCTGCTGGGGTCGCCATAAGTCAGTTGCACCTTGGCAGCCCTTGGCACTACCAGGCAGAGAGAGAGTTACTGGCCTAAGGTGTCAGCTAGCTGCCATGGAAGTTTGTGTATGAATTCCCCCCCCCCTCTGTTCGGCATCTGCGCATGCCTCCTGTATGGTCTGTGTGTATCGTTGTGTCCTGCATTCCATTCTATGAACGCTTGCGTACGCTTATCTGCAAGGTTAACAGGTGGGAAGAAGGAGCCGCTTGGCTTAGACTATAATGAGCCGGACCGTGTGAAGCTGCATTTGTTTATCTTTAGAGAAACGTTGCTTCTCAGGCTTTTGAGCGCGAAACCAAAAGTCTGCCCGCTCGGCGTTAACCAAGGTTATTGGTTATTGTCTGTTTGAATGTCTAACATTATCCCTTGCCCGACCCAGCCCAGGTATTCTGGACAGTGCCTTTGTTCATGCTCTATCATGGCTTTAATAAAATACTACTTTGCTTAAACGTGTATTGGACTTATAGCTCTGGGGAAGCGGACATAAGGTCATCCAGTGAGAGTCATGGGGATCTGTACTCATGTCTCCCTGGCCCTAGTCCAGCACGCTAACCACTATATTATATTGAAGCCAACTGGATCAGACTCGTACTACATGTTAAGGCTCCTGGTCCCGAAAAAGGAGCATAGGAGGCCTGGGCACAGGGGTGGACTCGCCAGTTAACTTACAGGGAAAGTTCCCAGTAGGCCACTGCTGTAGAGTAGAGCCAGTTTAGAGTCAGTTTGGTGTAGTCGTTAAATGTGCGGACTCTAATCTGGGAGAACCAGGTTTGATTCCTCATTCCTCCACTTGCAGCTGCTGGATGACCTTGGGCAAGCCATAGTTCTGTCAGAGCTGTTCTCTCAAGGACAGCTCTGGAAAGAGCTCTCTCAGCCCCACCTACATCACAGGGTGTCGGTTGTGGGGAGGGGAAGTGAAAGCAGTTTGTAAGCCACTCTGAGACTCCGAGTGAAGGGCGGGGTATAAATCCAATCTCCTCTTCTTCTTTTACCCTGGATGGCTATTGGCAGCCAGGAACAAACAGAGCCAAGCCCCAGTAGCCCTGCTTAGCACTGCATGGGCCACTCAGCCTGGCTTATTCCAAGGCCATTTTGATTTCCCAGCCATGCCTGCCTGTTTTCTAACTTCTGTTGCTTGGGTTGCAATCTGAGTGAGCCGAAGAAGGAGGAGGAGGTGGATATTGGATTTATACCCCGCCCTTCACTATCCAAGGGAGTCTCAGAGCGGCTTACAAACTCCTTTCCTTTCCCCTCCCCACAACAGACACCCTGTGAGGGTAGGTGGGGCTGAGAGAGCTCTGAGAGACACTGCTCTTTTTCATGAACAGCTGTGCCAGAACTACAGCTTGCCCAAGGCCATCCAGCAGGTGCAAGTGGAGGAGTGGGGAATCAAACTTGGTTCTCCCAGATTAGAGTCCGCGCACTTAACCACTACACCAAACTGGCTCAAACAAGACAGGGAGGGAGAACGTGTGAGACTGACAGTAAGCAGTGAGGATGGGGAGAGTGAGATGACCCAAGGAGGCAGACAAGACAATCCCGGAGCAGAAGTTCTTACTAGAAAAGCATGTTCATGAGGACAGACTGGGTAGAGAGAAGCAAGTTAGTAAACACTGAACCTGATCAATTAAGTTTCATGGATTCTTTTATTTGCAAAGGGATGGCACCCTGTGCTCCAGCTGCCAGGAAAATAAGAGCAAATGTGGTAGCCAGGAAAGCAAACAGCTGATATACATCGTCTAATAGTCTTTAGACACTATTTGATCTTAATGCTGATTAAATTTTAAACAAACACGTTAAATATTCGTATCTGCGTGGTTATGTTTGTTTTTACTATGTTTGGAATGTAAAGGCCTGTGGCCATAGATAGTAAATTTTCTACCTACCTACCTAAAGTTAGTAAATAAAGGCAAGACTCCTCCAGGAAGTTGCTGAACTGAAAGCATGGAAATGGGACTGGAGAGAGGAGATAAGGCAACATGGGGGTGGGGGGTGGGGTTAACAGAGGAGCTGGGCTGCCACTCCTTACCTGACCTCTGTGAAGTTCCAGACGGAACTGGCAGAAACCGCCACAGCCCAGCGCCTGCACACCTGGAAGGCTGCATGTCTGTCCTTGAGAGGGAGGTAGCAAAAAATGTGGGACAGAATTTCTTCCGGGATCACGTTCCAAATGTCTAGTATTGGCATCCTCTTGAGGCAGATGATTCCGAACTCCAACAGCAGATCTCTACGCTGAAAAGAAAAATAATAATAATAATTCCCTCCCCCAAAGCAGAAGTATCAGCTGATGCTGGGGGGGGGGGCGGAATAAATAGGAGATAAGGATTAACATTGCCAAGTAAGATTCACCGAACTGTTTCAGAGATGGAGGAGTGGCAAATTCTTCCTCAATAATCACATGATGGCCTGAACTAGAGAGCCCAGGTTGACCCGATCTTGTCAAATTTCAGAAGGCAATCAAGGTCAGTCCTGCTTAGTATTTGGATGGGAGACCACCAAGGAAGTCCAGGGCTGTGACGCACAGGCAGGCAATTAGCAAACCACCTCTGTTTGTCTCTTCCCTTGAAGTCCGAGGCAACTTGACAGCACATTCAGAAATCACATGATAAAGTATTTGTACCAGCACATCTCTCTTTTCCCAGAGAATGAACCAGGAGAGAGACTAGAGAATTTTTCGAAAGACTTAAGGCAGAATGACAGAGTTAGCACTACTTGCGGTCAGGACATGGGCCCTGATGAAATGGATCTGGCAGGTGTTTGAAGCCCTACAAACTGTTTGGTCAGGTGTGGGAGCAGAGTGTTTGGGCACACCATAGGTGATGATAAGGGCTGCCATCTCCAGGTTGGGAAATTCCTGGAGATTCGGGGTGTGAAGTGGAGTTTGGAGAAGATGAGGGACTGTCATAGACTCCACCCTCCAAAGCAACCATTGTCTTCAGGAGAACTGATCTCTTTAATCTGGAGATCAGTTGTAATTTCAGGAAGTCTCCAGGCCCCTTTTACCAGCGAGTCAGCTGTCTATAAAAGGTATTCATCTTCCAACTCCAGTCTAGCATTTACAGACTTTGATGCAAGGCCTGACGGTCAACACAGCTGACCATTTCCCACCAGTCAAATATGTGCAAGGTCCAACATCTGATACAAATTCAGTGCATGCTAGTAATCAATACACCAAGGGGGGGGGAAATCCTCTAAACCAGGTAAATTGTAAGGTCTGGCATACATGTTTACTGTATGGACAGATCGTTAGGCTTCTTTTATATTTTCTCTGCCTCTCCAGGGTCACTTTTAATCGAGACATTTACCTGCTCCCAGTCTGGAAGGGCCCTGACCTGGCTGGCCCAGGCTAGCCCGATCTGGTCAGATCTCGGAAGTTAAGCAGGGTCGGTCCTGGTTCGTACTTGGATGGGAGACCCCCAAGGAAGTCCAGGATCACTACACAGAGGCAGGCAATGGCAGACTACCTCTGGCCATCTCTTGCCTTGAAAACCCTACAGGATCACCGTAAGTCAGCTGCAACTTGACAGCTCTTTATACAATCAGCAAGAGAGTCACCAGATAAGCAAAAAGAAAAAGAAAAAACTTTCTAAGCATCGAGTTTTGCCAGAGCAATACCACGGGAGTCCTTCCTCATTTATTTAAGAATCGTATTCCATGATTACATGAAATTACAAGTGGTTTACATGAATTTGAAGACAATTACAGAATCCCCCTGGCAGATGATACGAATAAAAGAAAGGGAGCCGCCTCCACATATGCCCCAAAGAGCACTTCGGTCAGGGACGCAACATCACCTGGAGATCCCAGGCCCCAGGGAGGCCAGGCTCGCCATAACTAGGGCCGGGTCCTTTTCAATGGCGGCTCCTACCTGGTGGAATGAGCTCCTGGAGGAGATCAGGGCCCTGCGGGACCTTCTGCAGTTCCCCACGGCCTGCAAGACGGAGCTCTTCCGCCAGGCTTTCGAGTAGGAGCCGCCACTACCACTACCATTACCACCACCAGTATACCGAGGGACGGCCCTATGAAGACCAAGCTATGACCTCGCTGTGGATTGACACCATCGGATGGGGACGAGTAACATCTATGGGTTCGTTAATCTCCTTATCGCTATGTAATATCCTTGGGGTAAAAGGTAAAGGTAAAGGTTCCCTTGCTCGAAAGCCAGTCGAATCCGACTCTAGGGTTGCGGTGCTCATCTCCGTTTCAAAGCCGAAGAGCCAGCGCTGTCCGAAGACGTTTCCGTGGTCATGTGGCCGGCATGACTAAACACCAAGGCGCACGGAACGCTGTTACCTTCCCACCGAAGTGGTCCCTATTTATCTACTTGCAATTTCTTGCTTTCGAACTGCTAGGTTGGCAGGAGCTGGAACTAGAGACAGGAGCTCACCCCATCTTGCGGCACCCGGGTCTTGAACCACTGAACTACTGACCTTCCACAGCCTGCAGTTCAGTGTCTTAACCACTTGAGCCACCGCAGCCCCAAGGTCAATCCTTGGGGTACTATCCTGTTAAAGTTAATAGACCGACACTACTGAGCACTTTACCTGTCATGTGACTGTTTTATCCTGTTTTTATGCTGTTTTATGTGTAGGCACTTGTTGCCCTATTGTAAGCCGCCTTGAGCCCGCTTGCGGGGAGGGCGGGGTAGAAATGTAATGATAAATAAAAAGAGCTCCGTTTTACAGTCTTCAAAACCTGTGTATGGTCACGGTTTTCACCACATCAGCCGTTTCTACATGGGTTATTTGCCCCAGGTTCGATGCTGTTGGGAAATGGATTTCCCCCCCTCCCCTACTTCCCCACAGCAGTCTGGTGTACTCCTACATCTCCTGGGGTTTCTCCAGATTTTCTTCAGTCTTTCCCAGATCTGCTTTGCTACAAAGTTTGGGAAAGACTGGACTGCAGATGCTTGCCATGTGGGTGGGAAAGTTCAGATTTTCTCAGTCCTGCCCACATGGCAGCCGTTTCCCCTGACTATCCCTACAACAGCTGCTTCCTCCACTGCTGGGGGACACTTTTTAAAAATCAGCAACTGGATGTCATTATAACAATCTGTCTATCAGATCCTTGGCAATACCATCTTCCTTTTAAACCAAAAACTAGCTCTCTAGCCCCTTTTATTGCAGAACTAGATGGGGGGGAGGAATCATCTCTCTATGACAAAAGGTCGCCCCCCCTTTTATTGCCGATTTCTATTTCCAAAAATCATAAAGGCCCTGGCTGTAGGGGAGGGGGTGCTAGCCACTGTAAGGGAACAAAGGCAGGGAAATCTGCCATGCAGAAGAGCCTCATTGCAGTGGGGCTGCATTGGCAGCTACACAAGCCTGTCCCCGTGTGTGAAACACCAGCCACAGAATGAAAGCCGGTTCCACAGCACAGGAACTCAAGCAGGCCAAAGTGGAGGAAGAAGAGTTTATAACCCTGCTCTGGTGACAGAAGCCGCCTTGTGGGATCATGTGGGCAGAAGCCTTCCTGCAGCCCTCTGAGTTAGACAGAAGACTTCGAGCAGAATTCAGGACTGATTCAGCCAGGCCATCTAGTCAAGCCGCTGGAACGATCCAAAAGTGGCAAGCAACTGGAGAGCTGCGCTCTGTAACCCTGACAGGGACGTGGCCCTCACTTCTCCGGTTGGGGGGGGGGGGGGCGGCCCCCTGGGTGGGACGGGAAGGGGAGTTAATCCACAGCCGCGGAAAGACTACACACTGCTGCCAATATTATTTTTAGCCAGCCCGGGGACGGTCCCTCGGTTGTTCAGCTCACTAAATGCACTAGTAAGTTTTTGTATTGCACCTACCGGTTAAGGTCAAGCTCTCCCTCCTCCTACCTCGTCTGCCTGCTCCAGCCACCAGCTCTTCTCTTCTTCAGAGGCCAGAGAGATTACACATCACCCCGGCTGGCCGGCCCAACACAGCAGCCAGGAAGAGGAGGGCCCCTGGTTACTGTTTGCTTCCCAAAAGAGGATGAGGTCATCTCCTGGCCTTTGAAACAAGGATGAGTTTTTACAGGCTTCACGTCAAAAGGAAATCCTCGGTTTCTTGTTTGCTCCGTTCACGCCTTCCTTTGCCGCTCCCCCATCATAAACCAGGAGGAAAGAAACGGCCTAACTTAGCAAGCACCAAAAGGGCAGGAGATGGAACAGCTTGGCAGGGTATGATTTTTCCCAGGGTGGCAGGCCCAGCTTTATTGCAGAGGTAATCCAAGCCGTGGGTTGGATCACGACTCAAGTTTTCCAATGGCAGAAGGGAACTTTCCTGCCTCCCTCCACAAAATTCTGCTTCTGGGGAACAGGGAACTCCGAGGAATGTCTGCAGTGGGACAGGGGAATCAGAGGAAATTGCCAGTTTGTTTGGATTCAACTCAGTTGCTTGAAAGAGCAATATTATTCAGGGAAGAGAAACAAAGCCAGATCACCATACTAGCCCATTAAATACATCTTAAAATCCTGTTTTATTAGGGCCAATTATTGTTCACAATATGTAAAAGTCCAGGAGGTTGTCCACACAGTCTTGCACCCGCCCCGGTCAAAACCATGCACAGCTGTGCTCCTTCTACATATGGCTCCCCACCCAGCATCCTTTGCAACACTGCAAGGAATTAAGGGAAGCAACTCCTGGGTACCCACCACTCCATTATTGATATGCTTCCTCTCCAGAGACCTCTTTGAGGTAGCTTCATTGAAGTTTCTAAAACATTACCACTCCAGCCCCCTGTTGTGGTTGCTACTCATGCTTGGTGCTGCCGAGGGAGAAAAGGCAAAAGCCCAGGCACATGAACACATGAAGTTGCCTTATACTGAATCAGAGCCTTATGGCAACTGAAGACGGCAGGGCTATTTTGGGGCAGGAACGCACAGGAACGGAGTTCCGGCTGGCTTCAGTTGGCCACACCCACTACAGCCAAAACCTCTGCGTGCGTGGCTACAGAGGGAAGGCCTGGAGAGTGACCGCCCCCCCGTGACTCTGAAGCGGGTGGGCCAGGGGGGCCTGGAAGGATTGAAGAGGCATTTAAATGCCTCCCCATGCCTTCCCTGGCCTGTCCAAGGGCCAGCTTGCCCGGGCAAGCCAAGGGAAGGCATGGGGTGTGGCCTAATGTGCTAATAAGCTGTGCTGTCAGGGTGTGGCCTAACATGCTAATGAGTTTCTGGTGTTGGGTGTGGCCTATTATGCTAATGAGTTCCTGCTGGGCTTTTTCTGCAAAAAAATCCCCGGAAGACGGTATTATCTACTCAGACTGGCAGCAGCTCTCCAGGTTCACATCACCTCCTATCCGGTCTTTCTACCTGGAGATGCCAGGGATTGAACCTGGAACCTTCCTCATGCCAAGCAGATGCTCTACCACTGAGCCAAGGTGTATGTAAAGCGTCATCAAGTTGCAGCCAACTTACGGTGCTCCAGTAGGGTTTTCAAGGCAATACACAAACAGAGGTGGTTTACCATTACATTTCACTGCCACTCCAAATTAATTTTAGCCTGTTGGCATTAACAATTGTAATTTCTGCACTGGTGGATTTCAGCAGTCTCTGAGCGCCCCTTCCCCTGATATAGGCTTAGTGACTGTGTCATTCCTGGCAGGGGAAACGATCAAAGCTGCACCGTTGCTTGACTGAGTCACTCCTTCAGGTTCCTGCTCTGAGGCTCACATAGCAGAGACGGGTGCATTCAACACAGCATCTGTTTACGGGCAAGAAGATACAGGGATGGGAGCGACTGGTTTCAGGACAACTGAGCTCATGCAGTGTCCCCCCCTCCTAACTAAATGTCGAGACAGTGTGTGACTGCAATAAAAAAGGTCAATGCTATGCTGGGGATTATTAGGAAGGGTGTTAAAAACAGGTCAGCCAATATCATAATGCCCCTCTATAAATCAATGGTGCGACCTCATTTGGAACACTGTGTGCAGTTCTGGTCACCACACCTTAAAAAGGATATTATAGAGAAATATAACTGAAAACAAAAGAAGAACACTGAATATTATTTCATTTTGTGAAAATAATTCTGTAGAAGCCTTGTTGATGTCTCTTGACGTTGACAAAGCTTTTGATAGTATTGAAACAAACTATCTGCAAGAAGTACTTATAGGTATGGATTTTGGGAAAAAATTCCAAAAGGTAATTCAGGCATTATACCGAGAACCCACAACGAAAATTAAAGTGACTAATGATACTTCAAACACTATACAATTACAAAGAGGGATGAGGCAGGGTTGCCCCCTTTCCCCATTATTATTTATTTTAGCTATAGAACCACTAGTAGAATATATCAGAAAAAACAACATTCATGGAGTTCAAATTGGCAATTTAACTCACAAAACTAGTTTGTACCCAGACGACATTATATTATATATTACTAAACCTAATGAGTCCTTAAGTGAAATTTTCAAGATACTCAATCAATTTAATACTATATCAGACCTCAGTTTTAATAAAGAGAAAACTATAATCCATCCGATACATATAAGTGAAGACTTAAAAGTAAAGATTACCAATTGAAGGAAACCATTAACCCATGGAGATATTTAGGAATATATATTCCATTAAAGTTAGAGGAATTAGCTAAGCATAATTTTGATAGAATACACTTGGAAATCAAAAAAACCCTTAAAACAATGGGAATCAAAATCTTTATATTGGAATGACCGGATTAACTTAATTAAATGTTCCATTTTGCCAAAATATAATTTTCTTTTCAGAGCTTTGTCTATTCCATTAGGTAAAAAAACATTACAAAAGTGGAAAACAGAATTAAACAAATTTTTGTGGGCTGGAAAAAAACCAAGAATTAGAGCTACAACATTATAGGACAGTTGACTGTGGTGGTCTGGGCATACCTAATTTACAATGGGTATACGAGTCTACAAATATTGGCACATTAATAACGAGTGCAAACTTAAAACGAGCTCCAATATGGTCTCATATAGAACTGGAGCCTTTACAACCTAATACCTTATATGACACCTTATGGGACCCAATTTTTTTTAAAAAATGTAACCAATTAAATAACCCTTTTCTGTTTAATCCTTTAAGAATCTGGTATAAATGGAAACCAATTTTGGCTCCAGGTATATCTAGTCAGTCATCCTATATTAGACAAGAATGGTTTACCCCGGTAAAAATTGGGAAAATTATGATATATGGCAAAAAAGCTGGTGTGACTAAAATCTCACACTTTCTGGATAAACAGGATATTTTAACAAAAGCACGACTAGAAGAAAAAATTAAGCACCACGTACACTGGTACAAATATTTACAAATCAGACATCTCCTTGAGTCTCCTCCACTGAGACTGATGAGGGGACATCCATTGACACCTTTGGAACAATTTTTAGAGAAAGAGGTCAATCTATGCAGAAATCTTTCATCTTTAGCATATGAACAGTTAAGCTTTAGCAAAGAAGAAAAAAACACTCTATAACAAAAACAATGGAAAGAAGAATAGATATTACGGAAGAAGATTGGCAACAAATATGGGATGGTTATAGCAGAAATTCAAAAATTATTTCTATAAATACCTTAATGTCAAAAATTATTATGAGATGGTACATCCTACCTATTAGACTTTTTCGTATAAATAAGATATATAGTCCTCTATGTACAAAACAATGTGGTAATAAGGCTGACTTTATACACTGTTGGTGGTTATGCCCCATAATACAACAATTTTGGCAGATCATTTTAGGAAAAATTAAGGAAATAACTGATGTTGACTTACCTTGTTCCCCTGAGGTGATTGTTAGAACGTTGGCCTCATCCTAGAAAAAACAAAAGAAAAGAAGAATTAATCGCATGCTTGCTAGCAGCCGCACGCTTGCTTGTGGCAACAAAGTGGTTAGAAAAGAAACCTCCTACTTTATCTCAATGGTATAATCGCATATGGGAAATTTTCATCATGCATAAACTGTCATTAACAATGTCTAATGCATCTCCTGATACGTACCACAAAAAAGTTGTAGCTGTTTGGTATCCTGTTATAAGTTATATGTTGAAATAGTGATATTATTCCTGATAATCCACAGTATAAAAAAATGGTTTATTTTTAATTTGTATTGTTAACACAAAACAAAACAGTATGTTGTGTTTTGTTTGTTTAATGTTGAAAATATGTAATTTCTGAAAAATTGTTAATAAAGAAAAGAAAAGGATATTATAGTTTTGGAAAAAGTGCAGAAAAGGGCAACTCGAATGATAAAAGGGTTGGAACACTTTCCCTATGAGGAAAGGTTAAAGCGCTTAGGGCTCTTTAGCTTGGAGAAACGACGACTGAGGAGTGACATGATCGAGGTTTATAAGATTATGCATGGGAAAGAGCAGGTAAAGAAAGAGGTACTTTTCTCCCTTTCTCACAATACAAGAACTCGTGGGCACAATGAAATTGCTGAGCGGTTGGGTTAGAATGGATAAAAGGAAGTACTTCTTCACCCTAAGAGTGATTAACACATGGAATTCACTGCAACAGGACATGGTGGCGGCTACAAGCATGGACGGCTTCAAAAGGGAATTAGATAAGCATATGGAGCAGAGGTCCATCAGTGGCTATTAGCCACAAGGTATAGATAGGGGCTCTGGGGCAAGTGATGCTCTGTCTTCTTGGTGCTTGGGGGGGGGGTGTCAACAGTGGGAGGGCTTCTAATGTCCTGGCCCCACTGGTGGACCTCCTGATGGCACCTGGTAATTCTGGCCACTGTGTAACAGAGTGTTCGACTGGATGGGCCTTTGGCCTGATCCAACATTGGCGTCTCTTATGTTCTTAAGGAAACCGGAATCAACTGAGCAGGGACTGCACCCCACTAGACTAAATCAACACACACAAATATCAAGGAGGGGGAGCAGACTGTTCCATCACAGTGCGTACAATAAAGATAGGGCCAAAGCAAAGCCCAGTGGGACAGGATGCCAAGCCAGTCTCTTTGAGTCTAGAGTCTACCCAGAGAGTAGCCCCTCTCCCAGGAGCCTCCACAAGACATTCTGCATTCCAAGACTGCAGGCTTCAGAGCTCCACTATCTCCTGAAACTGCCGGCCTCTGGCTTAGCTTGCTGAAGAAACCTGAAGAGCCCCAAAGTCAGCACACATTGCTTTCGGAACACGCTTCATGTAACAAAAGCTTTAAGTGGCTTTGCCAGCCTCCAGGTGGGTAGAAGGCAAAGGTGGGAGATCACCGGAGGAGGTAGAAGACCAATCAAAACATCCGTGACAAAAATGACGAAGAATCAATAAAATATATATATACGAAATGGTTTGCTATAATAGTGATTCTCTATTCTATTTTTGCTCGCACAGAACAGATTTTGCACAATAACAAATACCCGTTTCATATCCATTTCCACTTATCAACTCTTGAAATAAACATCCCATGTTGACTGAGTTCTGATATGAGAAAGTCAACATGGGATGTTTATTCCAAGAGTTGAAAAGTGGAAATTGATAAGCATTGTAATTACTACACGCTCAGATAGAGCAATCTATATGAAACGGGTATTTGTTATTGTGCAAAACCTGTTATGTGTGAGCGAAAATAGAAGAGATTTTTCTAGATAATCACTATTATTATAGTAAACCATTTCGTATACATATTTTTATTGACTCTTTGTCATTTTATTCATGGACGTTTTGATTGGACTTCCAGCTGCCAGGTGGGAGCTGGAGACCTCCCGCAATCACAGCAGATCTTCAGACTACATAAACCACTCATTTATTCCACTTCTACTGGAGAAAACGGCCGCTTTGGAAGGTGGGCTGCATGGCCTGATACCGTACTAAGGCCCTAGGGTTGCCAACATCCAGGTGACACCTGGAGATCTTTCACCATTACAACTGGTATCCAGGTGACCAAGATCTGTTCCGCTGGAGAAAATGGCTGGTTTAGAGGGCGGATTCCATGCCATTATACCCTACTGAAGTCCCACCCCTCCCCAAACCCCACCTTCCCCCAGACTCCACCCCCAAAATCTCCTGGTATTTCCAAACCAAGAGTTGGCAACCCTATAAATTGCAGTTTGAGCATACTTGTCCAAAGGCAGAAGCCTTCAACTGCCTTCCCAGGCAGGAGGCTGAAGTTGGTTCCCAGTTCCTTATTTGTGACTTATTCACATATATTGTTGTTGTTAAAAAATTAAATAATTCAAAATTGCCGATATACAAAAAATCATAGCAATTAGATTGCTCCACAGTTATTAATCATATGCAATGGGACTCTATATGGGCTTCATTGACACTGTCTAACCATCTCATCCTTTGCCGTCCCCGTCTTCTTTGACCTTCAATCTTTCCCAGCATCAGGGTCTTCTCCAGTGAGTGCTCCCTTCTCATTTGGTGGCCAAAGTATTTGAGCTTCAGTTTCATTATCTGGCCTTCCAGGGAACAGTCAGGGTTGATTTCTTTGAGGATTGACTGATTTGTTCTTCTTGCAGTCCAAGGGACTCTCAAGAGTCTTCTCCAGCACCATAGTTCAAAAGAATCTATTCTTCGGCGCTCGGCCTTCCTTATAGTCCAGCTCTCGCAGCCATACATGACTACTGGGAATACCATTGCTTTGACCATGCGGACTTTTGTTGGCAGGGTGATGTCTCTACTTTTTATCATGCTGTTTAGGTTCGCCATCGCTTTCCTCCCAAGGAGCAGGCGTCTTTTAATTTCATGGCTGCTGTCACAGTCTGCGGTGATCTGGGATCCCAGGAACGTGAAGTCTGTCACTACTTCCACGACTTCCCCTTCTATTTGCCAAGGAGTGATGGGGCCGGATGCCATGATCTTAGTTTTTTTGATGTTGAGCTTCAAGCCCACTTTTGCGCTCTCCTCTTTTACTCTGAGCAAGAGGCTCTTTAGGTCCTCTTCGCTTTCTGCCATTAGAGTGGTATCGTCTGCATATCTGAGGTTGTTGATCTTTTCCCCAGCAATCTTAATTCCCGCTTGTGATTCATCCAGGCCAGCATTTCGCATGATGTACTCTGCATATATATTAAATAAGCAAGGTGACAATATACATCCTTGTCGTACTCCTTTTCCTATGCTGAACCAATCAGTTGTTCCATATCCGGTTCTAACTGTCGCTTCTTGACCCTTATACAGGTTTCTCAAGAGACATGTGAGGTGGTCTGGTACTCCCATCTCTTCACATATATACATATGTATAAAAAATTAAATAATTCAAATCTGCCGATATACAAAAAATCATAGCAATTATAGCTCCACAGTTATTAATCATATGCAATGGGACTCTATATGGGCTTCATCCTCTATGGTGTTAAAAGCCAGCGCTCCCATATTAATAACATGCAAACTGATCACCCATTGGTATTTAACCCCCATAGAATTCCATCATATAAATCCCTCTAAAAATCCGAAATGTTGGAATAGTTAAATTTTAGATAGATATACTGATATTCTATTCAGATATACTGACTAGAATATCAAGAATATTATTAATGTTAAATAGTTTGGGATTCTGTTTGTATCAATTGTTTTATATTAATTTAATTAAAAAAAAATTTTTTTAAGACCCTGTGAGAAATGCTCCCTCTAAACTGTGGAGTCTTGTGAGCAAAAATTGTACTCTGTGAGCTACTGGCATTAAAGTTGTGAGCAAGCGATTTGGCTTCTGCATAAATTAGTGTTCTCGGGAGCCATCCTTCCCGAGCTAAGACAAAAATGTGTGAGCCAGAGGCTAAAAAAACCTGTGAGTTAGCTCACATTAACTCAGCTTAGAGAGAACACTGTATGATACTATGGCTTCAATTGAACGCATGAACACATGAAACTGCCTTATACTAAATCAGACCCTTGGTCCATCAAAGTCAGTATTGTCAACTCAGACTGGCAGCGGCTCTCCAGGGTCTCAGGCAAAGGTCTTTCACATCACCTCCTGCCAGAACATATGCACGAGAACTGTGCTTTGCACCAGGAAACACCATATGTCCCCTTGAAGGGGAGAGTCCCCTGAATGTGGGGGTGTATGATTTATGGTGTTCCAAGCCTTATTTGGGGGTTCAGAGCTTTTAAACTCTCCCCAAAGTTCTTTGGCTAAATTCATGAATAAGTCACGAATAACAAACTGGGAACCAACTTCAGCCTCCTTTCCCTGGCAGAGTTCTCAGTTCTAATTAAGCCCTCCTGGTTTTTTCCCAGGTCCCGAACTACCGCACTTACCTAAGCTGCCTCCATCTAACGTTTTTTGGGGTCGCCCCTGATTGGCTGCTTGAACTTCCTGGTGAGGCTTCCACTGGGAGGACCTTTAACCAACCAAATGGCAAAGGGAGGCTTCCTTCGACTGGCAGATCATGTAGCCAGTAAGAGCGGATCCCTGCAAGCCGTGAAAAGAGAGGAGGTTCCCTTAAGCCGAAGGAAATAATGGTTTTTAGAAGCCCGTACAAAAATCCAGCGTTTCTTAGGCTATCATAAAAAGACGATTTCCAGGATCCCATTCATCGCTAAACTCCGGTCAACCTTTCCCACGCAACGGGGCGGGGGGTGGGTGTCATAGCGTTGCCTGATCCCGCGAGTGCGATCTATTTTCTACGGTGCTAATGCGCAGGGGCGGAAGGCGCCGGTATTTGGTGGTTCTGGACGCGTGTGAGGAGGGGAGGGATTGGGGGCACCCTCGGCCCAGGAAGGTAAGGGGAAGGGTGGTGGCAAAGAGCATGCGGCCCTTAGCGAGCCAAAGTCCGAGACTTGAGCAAGGGCGATCGGATCCCACAAGTGCCCAAGTGCACCCCGATCGGGCGTTCCAAGAGATCTCTGGGCGTGATCGCTTCCTTTGCATTGCGCTTAGTATTGGCCCCAGAGGAAAGAGAAAAGCGGCAAAAACAGGTGGGGGGAAGGGGTGTGGAGAACAAGTTTTCCCTGCGGCAGCTACTTAAAAAAGAAAGAGAGAGAATTTCCTAGCAAGATCGGAAGGAGGAAGGTTAGGTTAGGAGGAAAAGAAGTTTCGTTTTTGGGCACTCCGGGAATCAGTCTCATTCCAGGAAATCGGAGCTTCCATATTGAATTTTGTTTGATATTTTAGGGGGGGGGGGGGGGAAATGAAGTCTTGAGACGTCCTCCCTATTAGTTATCCCGTTTAACAATCGCTGAAACGGAGCGTTTCCCTTCTCTCCTATGCTTTGGAGTGCACATTTGTAAGTTAAGGGAAGAATCAGGTGGGGGTGGGGGGACAGACTTAGTTGCTACACAAGAGCTATTAGCGTCTGCTAAAGTTAGTAACATTTGCCAATTTAACATACCCCAGTGGGGTCCAAAAGCAACTTACATCGTTCCCCTGCCCTCAATTTTATCCCTACAACAACCCTGTGAGGTAGGTTAGGCTGAGAGTGCATGACGGGCCCAGGGTCACCTAGCAAGTTTCCATGGCAGAGTGGGGATTCGAACCGCGGTCTCGCAGAGTCCAATGCACTCTAATCACTGATAGCCAGCATAGTGTAGTGGTTAAGAGCCGGGGACTCTAACCTGGAGAGCTGGGTTAGATTCCCCCACTCCACGTGAAGCCTGTTGGGTAACCTTGGGCCAGTCACAGTTCTCTCTGAACTCTCTTAGCCCCACCTCTGCCTCACAAGGTGCCTGTTGTGGGGATGGGAAGGTAATTGTGAGACTCCTTAGAGAAAAGCAGTATATAACAACCAACTCCTCTTCTATAGCACACTAGGGAAATTGGATCTGTGACATTTCTCCTCCATGTGGAGGACGATGCAAATGGAAAATCAGAGTATGCCTTCAGGAATATTACCAAGGTGTAACATGTTGTAAAGCCCTGACCTGCATAGCCCAGGCTAGCCTGATTTTGCAAGGTCTTGGAAACTAAGCAGGGTCAGCCCTGGCTAGTATTTGGATGGGAGACCACCAAGGATTGCCAGGGTTGTGATGCGGAGGCAGGCAAAGCCAAACCAATCCCGGAATGTCTTGCCTTGAAAACCCTCTGGGATTGCTATCAGTTGTCTGTGACTTGAGGCACTTTCCACCTCTGAAGCACACTTCCCCTGTACTGGATCGGGGCCTCAGTCATGGGGCTTGCCTGATGCCGTGCTCAGGTCTGGTCTGCAACAGAATGAGCTGGTAAGGTTCTGAGGTGGTAGGAAGGGTCGTACCCCTTCAGACTGGAGGTGGGGAGAGTTCCCTTTATAATGCTTTCCCAGGTCAAAACTCCCTGCAAGTTAAAAAAAACCCCACAACATATCAGGAAGAATGGTTCTATGCTCGTCTTTGGCCGTTGCTCTAGTTTTCTGCTTATAATCCCCCCCCCCAGTCTGAAGTGGCACAGTCCATTATATCACTTTGGTGCTCTTCCCCTGTTTCCACTGCATGCCTAGACGAGACCTCTGTGCCATGGAGATGAGGGGGGAACAGAGTCCTTACTCTGCAGTCGACCATTGGAAGGGAGTGGTTTAAGGGGAAGAGATAAAACTTTTTCTGTCTTGAACGCGGGAAACTGCCTTCCCCTAGGTCAGACCCTTGGTTTGCCTGCTTTGCGGGGAGAGCAGGGTATAAATGAGACAAATAAATAATAAATAAATAAAGTCAGTATCGTCTTCCCTACCTGGCATCCACTTTCCAGGGTCTCTAGCTGAGATCTTTCACATCACCTACGAGTTATTCCTCTTAAGTGGAGATGCCAGGGATTGAACCTGGGACCTTCTGTGTGCAAAGCACATGCTCTACCACTGAGCTATGGCCCCTCTTCTGCAATGTTCCCAACCTCTAGAATCCCACATATTCCTCATACATAATGAAAACAATTGCCCTCCCCCTAGTAATTTTTTGCAAATTGTAATATATAGCTATATATATTTATATATAACACTGTTGGTGTGAGAGATTTATTGATTCTGTTGTATCTGAATGGGAAAGTGACATTTGCATGTAGGATGAAATTGGTAGTGTTTCTTCTCCTTGGTGCTTTCCTGCATTCTGTTCATGCAAAGTCAGAGGGGAATGAACACTTACCGAACTATAGATTTGTTTCTTTGTGAGCGGGTGAAGCATGAGTTTATCAACCTCAACTTGCTTTCCCCCCCGGAAATCAGACTGCCCGTCTAATTGGGCCCTTATTTCCTAGGATTGCCCAAAGGCCTGGAGAAAAATGCCCTGTCCCTTTAGTAGAGGTTTAATGGGAAGTTATGTTTACCGGGGATATTATTTGCCTCCATGCCACGAAAAGCTTCAACTGCCTGTTTTCACACGTTAAACCTCTGTTAAGGGGATAGGATGCTTTTCTCCAGGCCTGTTGGCAACCCTGTAAATTCCCCAAGCAGTAGACTCAGGAAAGACAGTTTGCCTAAGGCCGCCTAATTATTCGACTGGAGCTCCTGATTTATTAACATCTGTTTCAGTCCGCCGCACACCTGCGAGTACATCTTATGGAACACAGGGGGTTTGGAGCATGCATGCATAGGACTGTGCTGTTAAACCGTGTACTGGATTACACCAGCTACCCATTTTGAAGAAAAGTTATGGAGAGTCCACACTGCACCCCTTTGCACACCATGTGCATCAACAAACACTACCTTTTAATCTGCTTCCAAAATGCATTGTACCAAGAGGTGCTTTAAACATTGCCCTAGTCACGTGGGTCTACCTTTTTCAGGAATTTATGTTCCATTTTTATCCAAGGGCTAGAGTGACTTTTAAACAATACAGTTCCCAGGGCTGATTGCTGTCAGACCCCACAGCAGGCAATGAAGTACACACTTGCAGGAAGGTTTTACTTTATTGAAGCCATGAAGTACTTAGAACAGATTCTCTGTTCAGAATAACCAGATGAGCGTTTGACAGGTAGGTTAAAGCAAGTTCATAATAATACTAGCCAATAGCTATGGTTCCCGCTCCCGCCTAGAAGGAGCTCAGCGCTCCCAAACCCTGAGAAGCAACGGTTTTGGTCAGTTAAACAATTACACTATTCCCACACTACATGTTCATTATAGACTAAGCAAAAGCCTCCGTCCGCACACCACCTGTGGCCTTCGGTAGATAAGTTGCCATCAAAGCAAAACTAGCGTATACAGAAAGGAATGCGATGGAGGAGACGAGCACAGGAGAGTGAGGGTAGACATGTGTACAAGAGCAGACTACCGTTACCAAGGAAATAAGGTTATCTGTGTCGTGATAGCTTATACATACATTATAGACACATTGGCAGCTTGCTGACAATTGCTCAGGTCTCAGCCTTGGAACTGGTACCCTGCAAGGAGGGATGCCGATGGCACTGGTCCATGCATGCATATGGTTGAGACGGTTCCTCTTGGCTGTGCGGGAGCCACTCATGATATAGTAGTTTGCACACCTCTTGATGAATAACATGCGAAGGGCTCCTTGACTTAATGGATGTGCTTGTGTTGCTTTGCTTTCCGTGCTTTCCTGCAGCTGGCAGAGAAATGGGTGACAGCACGGATGCCTGGGTGGGAAGCGCTTACCTCTTCGTCCAGTCGACCTCCGAAAACATTCTCCTGCCTTCACTCTATGGAAACCCAGAGCAGAAGCCTCAGGTGTTCAAAGCATTCAAGCTGGCATTCGCGGGTAGGTGTTCGGAACCCTGGTGCCCTTTTGCCTGCTGCGTGGCCCTGAGTTTAAGCTGACTGGCTAACCCCCTCCCACTGATGATGTGAAAAGTAGCCACTTGCAAGGTGATTGGGTTTGTCTTTAATCAGTGACCTTATGCTTCAAACATCATGTGAGACTCACGGAATTTACGGCCTGGTGGACGGAAATGTGACCCTCTTCCTAGCTCCCTCTGCCCAGCGATAGGTGGGAGGCAGCAGCTCCTGCATTGTCAGTTCCTGCACTGTCAGCGGTTCCTGATACTTCGGTGCCATTTCCTCTCTTTAGAGAATTGATAGGTAGGTCAGTCCAAGGTCCTCTCCTTATCAAAGAACCATAAAGGTAATGGCAGGTGAGTCACAAAGCCTTCCGTCTTCGACCCCACTGGCTCTAACACAACTTCCGTTCAAGCCCTTGTTTGATTTTGATTTTTAATTGGCCTCCTTTCCTGTTTGTGGAAGAGCATGCCAAATGGGACAGAACTGACATACAGTGCCTAGCACACTGTGCGTGAGCCCCACAAGGGCTGGTAGGGCAAAGGTGCCATTTCAGACCCACCTTTCCGTGAGAGTTGTAGGCACCATGTGATTACTTTCCCAGCAGCAAATCTTATCACTAGCCCTGTACAGATACCCTCCCCCCAATGCCTTGATTCACCTTGTGAGGAGCATCAGCGGGCAGAAACCTGCCATCCCCATCTCCTGCTTCCAAGCACTTGCCCAGTCATCTGCAGAGTGCAGAGTGTGTAGCCCCCCCGCCCCGTGACCATCAGCAACTCTTTCATGACGTCGCATGGCATGGGAAGTGGGTGACCTGTGGCCTTTTCCTCTGTGTGGTCCTCAGATGACCGGGCAGTTACCCAGAGGGCCAGCTCGGTGTACCCGTGCCCATTCTCCCTCCCCACTCAGCGGGGGGGGGGGGGGTGTCCTCCATAGAGGACCTCTGTTGCACTCCATAAACCAAGTGACTATATTGACAGGCAATCAAATGGGCCTGTGTTCTAGGAATGCAAACGGACAAGTAGGTAACATTGCTGCAGTTACACAAGGTATTTTAAAAAAGAATGTTATAAATACTCAAAATACATTGGTGGTTTTTTGGGGGGAGGGGGTTGCAGTTTGATCTCAGATATATTCCCGGTCCAAGCCAAGGGCTTTACACCTTGCAGAAAGTCTTCCCCTCTGCCTCCACCCGTCTGAAATGGCAACCCTTTGGTGGGGGGGTCACACAGGCACAGCATGTCTGATGGCTGTTGGTGTGGCAGGGTCAGGCCGGGTTCGAAGGCTGGCCCTACACAGGATGAGAGCACATTTCCCCATGTTGTGTGCATGCACCCCCCAGAGAATGCAAGTTGCAGACAGTCATGTGTTTTAGCTCGCAAATATTCTTGAGGCTCCAAATCCCTGATGCAACTTTGCAAACTGGCATTGATGCAAACATTATAACTGAACATGAAAGAAGGTACAGGGTTTTCTAATCATGTCTGTTTAGAAACAGGCCTTTTAACAGCTTCACAACAAGCTGGAATTCAACAGGCAAAACATTTCCCGGATGGGAAAAACTTCATCTTCTAGCCTGTGTAGAGGCCCTTGTCAGGAGAACGGAAAAATAGAAACAGTTTTTCAAAACAATGAGATTCCCAGCAGGAAATTTAGTTCTTCCTCAAGAAATTTCCCTGTGGCTAAACATGAAGTAGCTTTGTATAGTCCAATCCATTAGTCGGGAATCTGCCTGGCATTGGTTCTCTGTTGAAGAGGCTCTTCTTGCTACCCGCAGTCCTTTTAACTATACCAGAGGCTGAACTGGTGATTTCCTGCACAGAGATCAGGCATTCCACCCCTAGACTGGTGATGGAAATTACTGTCAAGTTGCAGCTGACGTATGGCGACCCTGTAAGGTTTTCAAGGCAAGAGATGTTCAGAGATGGTTTGCCATTGCCTGTCTCTATGTAGCAACCCTGGACTTCCTTGGCGGTCTCCCATCCAAGTTCTAACCAAGGCTGACCCAGCTTAGCTGCTGAGATCTGACAAGATTGGGCCAGCCTGGGCCATCCAGGTTGGTGCATCCCTAGACTAAAGGTAAAGGTTCCCTTGCTCGAAAGCCGGTCGAGTCCGACTCTAGGGTTGCGGTGCTCATCTCCGTTTCAAAGCCGGCATGACTAAACACCAAGGTGCACGGAATGCTGTTACCTTCCCACCGAAGTGGTCCCTATTTATCTACTTGCAATTTCTTGCTTTCGAACTGCTAGGTTGGCAGGAGCTGGAACTAGAGATGGGAGCTCACTCCATCATGCGGCACATGGGTCTCGAACTGCTGAACTACCGACCTTCCACAGCCTGCAGTTCAGCGTCTTAACCACTTGAGCCACCGCAGATCCAACCACTCTAGACTATAACTGCTCAAATGGGAGCTCAGAGTGTTATCCTCCAGTAAACCAGCAGCTTGAAGGAACTGTTCACTGGAATCTGTGGGTTGGATCCAGCCAGCCTTTGCACTCCATCTTGCCTAGTTTCCCTCTTTACTGCAGTCCCTGTTTGACATTCCTTTTTTAAATACTGGTCCCATCACCCCCTGCAAAGACTTTATTTGGTAGCCAAAAAGGGGAATCTTCCTTTTTCGCCTACAGAAAAATTGGTTGGATCCAATCCCATCGCTCCGTTTGCCACTGACTTTTCTCCTTCTCTTCCCCCAGATTCTACCGGTAGCCTCAATGGAGTGGACATGCTGAAAGTCCACTGCAGTGACCCCCACTTGATTGTCCAACTCAAATTCTGCAACCAAGGGAACTGCCGCAGATTTCTGCGAAGTTATCGCGAAGGAGCTCTCCGGGACTCTCTTCAGCGACATCTCAGTCTCTCCTTGGCCACAACCAGACCGGTCCGTGTCCAGATGGAGCTGAAAACTGGTGCTGGGAAGCTGGACTCTATGCTTCTGGAGGAGGAACGCTGTGTAGAATGCATCTCCCAAGACAAGGTAAAGGCAGAAGTTTGGGGTATGTGGGTGGATTACTACACATAATGGTGGTAGTAGGAAGTGCTGTCGAGTCATCCATCATCGATTCAGCTGAGAATACCAAAGGCTGAACCTGTGACATCCTGCACAGAAATCAGGCAATTTACCCCTAGACTGGTAGTAGAAAGTGCTGTCAAGTCAGAGCCAACGTATGGCGACCCCACAGGGTTTTCAAGGCCAGAGATGAACAGAGGTGGTCTGCCCATTGCCTGCCTCTGCATAGCTACCCTGGACTCTCCTTGGTCGTCTCCCATCCAAATACTGACCAGGCCCGAACCTGCTTAACGTCAAAGATCTGATGCGATCGGGCTAGCCAGAGCCCTCCAGGCCAGGGCCACAGGGACAGTTTTTATTTATTTTAATTTGGTACTTTTAACCAGCTTTTCTCCACTCAGTATCAAAGTAGCTTACGATATCACTCCCTCCTTCCACATGCACACATACAACATTTTATTTTATTTATTTTATTTCATTAGACTGATATCCCACCACCCCCATATTGTAGGCTCAGGGTGGGTACCAACATATATGTATCTGCAATTAATACAAATTTAAACATATTACAATAATCAAAATCCATAAAATCATCAGCCTTACCATAAAACTAGAAATATTTAAAGCCAAGTTAACAACAAATCTACCCTCTTCCATCAACAAACACAGAAGGAGGGGAGGGGGTAATTAGTTAATTATTGTATGGCAGTGGGTGTAGTATAGCCAGGAGATTCGAAGATTGTCTGGCAGCCTGAAACTCTAGCTCTTTTTTGTGGCGAGCTAGGTTTTTATTTTGGGAGCTGAGAGAGCTGTGACTGACCTAAGGTCACCCAGCAGGCTTCAAATGGAGGAGTGGGGAATCGAACCCGGTTCTCCATATTAGAGTCCACCGCTCTTAACCACTACACCAAACTGGCTGTCTTGGGAGTGGGGTAAGGCAGGTAGTAGCAGCTCTACCTTGAGAGGGCAACAGTCTCCATGAGCAGACAGGCACTCCCTGGGAGGGTGCATGCAGCAGTGCTGTGGGAACATGGCACTGGGCACGGGATTACAATTCCTGCAAACAAGAGTCCAGTTATGGCTGTGAAGACGTGCCAGTTACAGAGAGGGACAAAAGGCCATGGAAGTTGCTAACCATCTGGTTAACTTAGAACAGATGTAACCAAAATTCTGCATCTTCACCCACACTTTAAAATGCAAATTGCAGTCTTTTACAGCTTCAGTTTGCCTCAGGCTTAACCTGTCGGGCTCCACACAGTTTTGCACTGTCCATTTTTAAGGATAAAAGACATGTCCTTTAAAATAGGTTTTTTCCCTTTAAAATGCTAATGTCAAAGTGGTGAAACTGGTTTTCAGTCATCAAAATCAAGTGGAGGTTAAAGAGTTAAACCCCCTTTCCCCTCTGTGGCCCTGAGACAAACAGGCTGGAGTAGCTTGCGAATTACACTTTATAGATGGACAGAGAGATGCACACAGTGGTAGAGCCATCTGCTTAGAATGCAGAAGGCCTCAGGTTCAATCAGGCATCTCCAGTTAGAAAGGACTAAGTCTGTTTTTTGCAGCCATAAGTTCTAGAAGCTTGGGTTTGTCTTTTTAAAATGCCTAGATTTTAAAAAAAAATCTGCAATCATATCACATCACACACAAAAACAACCTAACATATAGATTCATCTTATGAAGAATCTCGAATCAAGACAGAGGAG